CCAGTTATTTTCCTTGCATCTCTCCATGCTTCCCTGGTGGGAGGGACTAGTCGCAGGGAAACGACACAAGTGAAGAACGCAAGGAATCCATTTAACCGAAGTGAGAAGGGCCCAGGGAAGCATGGAGAGACGCAAGGAAACCACGAGAAGCAGGGAAATGAGTTTTAAGAGCAATGGGACGTCCTTTCCTCCGGAGCGTCACGTGAAGCGACGTCCGTTTGTGATGACGCTGCACAGCTGATCGTCAGACAGCAGCTCTGTCCCCGTTGTTTCCACACACCCCCCCGCCTCTGTTAGTACACATTTACTGACACAAACATTTGTATCATCTGTTGTAGACCCCAATAAATAAAATAAAATAAGAACTAATTCTCAAAAAAGATAAACGCCTTTCTTAAAATGTATAAACGAACAATAGTTTGATTAATATTGATTAGAGTGCACAATAGAAATAACATAATTGAGAGAAGAAAAAGAGATATATTATCTATCAAAACCCAGTTAGATTAACATTCATTGGATTGCACACTTTGTGTGTTTGTGTGGATATGTAGCAAATTAACATTTTAATAGCACTTAATGACTGAATGGAAATGACAATAAATGAAAATGTAAAACGAAAAAAGAGATCATGAAAATGTTTCCAAAAAATGAATAAAATGATTTGTGACCACTTTGTTGTTCAGATATATCACATATTTGTAACTAAATGAAACATGAATTGAAACAAAACACGGTATAAACTGAGGAGTGACTCTCGTGAGGTTCATTTATTTTCTTCACTCCGCTGGGAAACTGCTCTCATGTCAAGAAGCATCAAATCAGTGCATGCACTTCATCGTCCAATCAGTGAGCGATACACAGTAAGGGGGCGGGGCGAGTGTCTGAGGATTTCATTGGAGGATGGTCTGGTGGTTCCTCGGTTATAGCTCCTCCATTATCGCTCCTCAGTCCTTCGGCAAAAATAAGGCCATTGGATCAAGATGGCACAGACAAATCAACTTCCGGTGAGACCGAGGTGCGAGGAAATGAAAAATAAGAGAAGTGAGAAGGGCCCCTGTTCTGAAGTCTTTACACTGGCTTCCTGTGTGTCAAAGAATAGATTTCAAAATACTGCTGCTGGTTTATAAAGCACTGAATGGTTTAGGCCCAAAATACATTTCTGATCTCCTGCTAAATTATGAACCATCCAGATCTCTCAGGTCTTCAGGGACTGGTCAGCTTTCTGTCCCCAGAGTCAGAACTAAACATGGAGAAGCAGCGTTCAGTTATTATGCTCCAAATATCTGGAACAAACTCCCAGAAACCTGCCGGTCCGCTGCAACTCTGACTACTTTCAAATCCAGCAAGAAGACTTTTCTTTTTGTCGCTGCTTTTAATTGAACTATTCATATCTTAGACTGCACTGTAACTTTTATCCATGTATTTTTTCTTTTAATGTTTATTTTATTAGCTTTTCTTTTTAATGACTGATTTTAAATGCCATTTTCTTAATGTCTTTCATTTTTTGTAAAGCACTTTGAATTGCCTTGTGTTGAAAGGTGCTATATAAATAAACTTGCCTTGCCTTGCCTTACCACAACCTTAGAGATATTCAGACCCTTTGAGATAATTAAATCCAGAGTGTGCCCCTTATTGTGGGTGGGCTCCGTCACATGCAGAGTCAGTCCATAGCTATCAAGAACACAAAACAGTTCTTTAGCCCCTCTGTCCTGGGGGTTGTCAACATGGATGTTAAAATCACCAACAATGACTAGACGGTCAAAGTCAATACACACTATAGACAGCAGTTCAGTAAAGTCATCAAAAAAGCTTGCACAGTATTTGGGTGGTCTATAGATATTGAAATTGAAATTTAAGTGAATATTTTTAGTGTTTTGAGCATTATGCTAATTTAAAATAAATAAAAGTAGGCGGAGCTTAACGGTCCAAGAGGATAATTTGTAGAGCAGGTCGAGACGGATAAGTGTGCAAAATGTCAGGTTATTGGGATTTACGGTGCGACTTTGTAAATTTTTCCGAAATGGGATTTTCATAGGTGGCACTAGCGAGCAGGTTGAATAATTTGAACCCATTGACTCCAGAATATTGAATTTTTCACCGGTCCTGGCGTCCGTGCAAAATTATACAACTTTTGAAGCGTCCTAAAGCCCTCAAAAAGAGGAAACGCCAGCAGAAAAATAAAAAGAAGAATTCCTCCAATAACAATAGGTTCCTCGCACTTCGTGCTAGGACGCCGTTGGGTCCTAGCGCTCCGTGCTCGGGCCCTAATAAAAGAAACATTAAAAGAAAAAAATACATGGATAAAAGTTACAGTGCAGTTTAAGATGTGAATAGTTCAATTAAAAGCAGCGGCAAAAAGATAAGTCTTAAGTCTGGATTTAAAAGTAGTCAGAGTTGCAGCGGACCTGCAGGTTTCTGGGAGTTTGTTCCAGATATTTGGAGCATAATAACTGAACGCTGCTTCTCCATGTTTAGTTCTGACTCTGGGGACAGAAAGCTGACCAGTCCCTGAAGACCTGAGAGATCTGGATGGTTCATAATTTAGCAGGAGGTCAGAAATGTATTTTGGGCCTAAACCATTCAGTGCTTTATAAACCAGCAGCAGTATTTAGAAATCTATTCTTTGACACACAGGAAGCCAGTGTAAAGACTTCAGAACAGGAGTGATCCACTTTCTTAGTGTCAGTGAGGACTCGAGCAGCGGCGTTCTGAATCAGCTGCAGCTTCCTAATAGATGTTTTAGTGAGACCTGTGAAGACACCATTGCAGTAGTCGAGTCACTGAAGATAAAAGCATGGACAAGTTTTTCCAAATCCTGCTGTGACATTAGTCTTTTAATCCTAGATATATTCTTTAGGTGATAGTAGGCTGATTTAGTAACTGTTTTAATGTGACTGTTGAAACTCAGGTCAGAGTCCATGACTACACCTAGATTTCTGGCTTTATCTGTTGTTTTTGAACATTGCAGACTGAAGCTCAGCGCTAACTTTTATACGTTCTGCCTTGGCTCCAAAAACCATTACCTCAGTTTTGTCTTTGTTTAATTGGAGAAAGTTCTGACACATCCAGTCATTGATTTGTTCAATGCACTTACTCAGTGTTTGAATTGGAGCATAGTCTCCTGGTGAAATTGTTACGTACATTTGTGTGTCATCTGCATAGCTATGGTAACTTATTTTGTTGTTTTTCATTATCTAAGCCAGTGGTAGCATGTAGATGTTAAAGAGAAGAGGCCCCAAGATGGAGCCTTGAGGTACCCCACATGTCATATTTGTCAACTCAGATGTGTATGTACCTATAGGAACAAAGTTGTTTCTGTCCTTTAAGTAGGATTCAAACCAATTTAGAACTGTTTCCGAAGCTCTGTTTTCTCCTCAAGTCTTTTCTGTGATTTCCACCTGAGCAATGAACAGAGGTGGAAGAAGTACTCAGATCTTGTACTTGAGTAAAAGTAGAAGTACTCAGATCTTGTGTAACCGGTGTCGTTAAGCGGTCTCTGTGTTGTGTTTTATGTTGTTCATGGATGAGACCCGAGCCAGCATACAGTTTAGAGCAGGGGTGTCAAACTCAAATACACAGTGGGCCAAAATAAAAAACTGGGTACTAGTCGAGGGCCGGACTGGTTCAATGTTTATTGCAGAACTTATTGAAATGAACTTATTGCACATATTAAACCTGGAACTAACAAAGCTTCAATTATTGCCTATAAAAACAACATTAAACATTAAATAATCAGTTGCTTTAATTTCTTATGGCTCTATCTGCAGCTTTTCCAGAGTCATTTCTTATGAGTACATTTCTCCACAGGCCAACAACAGCTTCAACAAAACTATTTCCCTCAAAGAACAAACCAAACATGTCCTGTTGTCGTGAGAGAGAAAGTGCAGAAGGAAACGTCCATTGAACTCAGTGTGCTGCTCTGTGATGCTAGTTCAGATACTTGGCATCTCATCTTGGGTGCAAGGTCATCAATGTTTGGGCTCAGGCTCTGAGCGGAGGAGACCCTCAGGATGGAGTGAAGGTGTGCGTGCAATATACCGGCGGGCCAGATCTAATAGTAATTAGAAATTATCCTACGGGCCCGAAATTAAATCCACCACGGCCTGATTTGGCCCCCGGGCCTCGAGTTTGACACCTGTGGTTTAGGCGACAATCTGACAAAATATAACAAATCAGTATTACAAGTGTTATCCCTCACAGTGACTCTTCTCACGTGGAACATTTACAAAAAGGCAAGAGGAAACGTGAGGGACACAATAGGAAGGGGGAAGTCCCCACAAAAATAATCTTCTGAGTACAGGGACTACATTTCAGAGGTTCCGCCCACTGACCTCCGACCTTGAACATTCAATAAATGAAGAACACAGAATTATTAAATATAAAACACAGAATGTGTGTGATTATACTAAATGATGTTCACATGAACACCACTGCATATTCACAACTGTTACACTTGTACTTGAGTGAAAGTAGAAGTACTCAGATATTGTACTTGAGTGAAAGTAGAAGTACTCAGATCTTGTACTTGAGTGAAAGTAGAAGTACTCAGATCTTGTACTTGTTAGCTAAAACTAATAATGAAAGAACTGGAAACACAGACTAAAGGTAATGTATATATATGTAGTGACGGTGGAGGAAGAGACTGCTAAGGACAAACTCAATCCACAGTGAAATGAAAACATATAGAGTTTGAGTTTATCATGTGATGGAAGATAAACAAAATGGTGGGCTACAACTTTGAAATCATAAATCAATTAAATAAATGTGTTTTGGTGCCAATCACAAAAAAGTCCATTCATATTCTGGGAGAATACAGTAATAGATGCAATAAATGCAGCAGGATTAATAATCCAGAAACACATGTATATAATAGAGAACAATTGAATGCACAGTTAACACTAGAGTACTTAAATACCTCAACACTTCAGTGAGGTTTTGAATGCAGGATGTTTACTGGGTTATTTCCACACTGGTATTCATGTTTTCAATAACTTTGTTGAGCTTGTTTTTAGCTCTATTTCTATCTCACTGAACAGAGTCCCTGGATGTGAACTGGTTCAGCTGATAAGGCTGATTATAAAACAGAGGGAGGAGCTGCAGACATGTGAAGGTGTTAAAGTCCCATTAAGAAGTCGGACTGCCAGACGCCATTTTACAGCTCGACGGAGCAGAAGGAGAACAACGGGGTGAGTGTAAACACCCAGATCTGCTTTCTAACAGATTCATTATTTACTCTGTCAGACTGATAACATAACTTCTTTGTTAAAAATCAGCGTACTAGAGTCCAATGAGACTTCTGCAAACTCTTTGTATTTCCTGTTTGCTGATTCATCAGAGTTACATAACATGTGACAGCGCAGTGTGTGTGTGTGTGTGTGTGTGTCTTTATATATATGTTCCATGTCTGTCAGAAACACAGACCATTTCCAGTAATTCACAGTCAGCTGTTGGGCTCAAAGTGTGTGGGTGTAGTTTTCTGTTTGTCCAAGAGATGGTAGTCCAAGCTCTGTTTTCTCCTCAAGTCTTTTCTGTGATTTCCACCTGAGCGATGAACAGAGGTGGAAGAAGTACTCAGATCTTGTACTTGAGTAGAAGTACCCAGATCTTGTACTTGAGTAAAAGTAGAAGTACTCAGATCTTGTGTAACCGGTGTCGTTAAGCGGTCTCTGTGTTGTGTTTTAAGTTGTTCATGGATGAGACCCGAGCCAGCATACAGTTTAGAGCAGGGGGGTCAAACTCAAATACACAGTGGGCCAAAATAAAAAAATGGGTACTAGTCGAGGGCCGGACTGGTTCAATGCTTATTGCAGAACTTATTGAAATGAACTTATTGCACATATTAAACCTGGAACTAACTAAGCTTAAATGATTGCCTATAAAAACAACATTAAACATTAAATAATCAGTTGCATTAATTTCTTATGGCTCTATCTGCAGCTTTTCCAGAGTCATTTCTTATGAGTACATTTCTCCACAGGCCAACAACAGCTTCAACAAAACTATTTCCCTCAAAGAGAAAACCAAACATGCCCTCTTGTCGTGAGAGAAAGTGCAGAAGGAAGCATCCATTGAACTCAGTGTGCTGCTCTGTGATGCTAGTTCAGATACTTGGCATCTCATCTTGGGTGCAAGGTCATCAATGTTTGGGCTCAGGCTCTGAGCGGAGGAGACCCTCAGGATGGAGTGAAGGTGTGAGAGCAATATACCGGCGGGCCAGATCTAATAGTAATTAGAAATTATCCTGCGGGCCGAAATTAAATCCACCAACGGCCTGATTTGGCCCCCGGGCCTTGAGTTTGACACATGTGGTTTAGGCGACAATCTGACAAAATATAACAAATCAGTATTACATGTGTTATCCCTCACAGTGACTCTTCTCACGTGGAACATTTACAAAAAGGCAAGAGGAAACGTGAGGGACACAATAGGAAGGGGGAAGTCCCCACAAAAATAATCTTCTGAGTACAGGGACTACATTTCAGAGGTTCCGCCCACTGACCTCCGACCTTGAACATTCAATAAATGAAGAACACAGAATTATTAAATATAAAACACAGAATGTGTGTGATTATACTAAATGATGTTCACATGAACACCACTGCATATTCACAACTGTTACACTTGTACTTGAGTGAAAGTAGAAGTACTCAGATCTTGTACTTGAGTAAAAGTAGAAGTACTCAGATCTTGTACTTGAGTGAAAGTAGAAGTACTCAGATCTTGTACTTGTGTAAAAGTAGAAGTACTCAGATCTTGTACTTGAGTAAAAGTAGAAGTACTCAATTATTGTACTTGAGTAAAAGTAGAAGTACTCAATTATTGTACTTGAGTGAAAGTAGAAGTACTCAGATATTGTACTTGTTAGCTAAAACTAATAATGAAAGAACTGGAAACACAGACTAAAGGTAATGTATATATATATAGTGACGGTGGAGGAAGAGACTGCTAAGGACAAACTCAATCCACAGTGAAATGAAAACATATAGAGTTTGAGTTTATCATGTGATGGAAGATAAACAAAATGGTGGGCTACAACTTTGAAATCATAAATAAATTAAATAAATGTGTTTTGGTGCCAATCACAAAAAAGTCCATTCATATTCTGGGAGAATACAGTAATAGATGCAATAAATGCAGCAGGGTTAATAATCCAGAAACACATGTATATAATAATAGGGAACAATTGAATGCACAGTTAACACTAGAGTACTTAAATACCTCAACACTTTAACTTTAGTGAGGTTTTGAATGCAGGAAGTTTACTGGGTTATTTCCACACTGGTATTCATGTTTTCAATAACTCTGTTGAGCTTGTTTTTAGCTCTATCTCTATCTCACTGAACAGAGTCCCTGGATGTGAACTGGTTCAGCTGATAAGGCTGATTATAAAACAGAGGGAGGAGCTGCAGACATGTGAATGTGTTAAAGTCCCATTAAGAAGTCGGACTGCCAGACGCCATTTTACAGCTCGCCGGAGCAGAAGGAGAACAACGGGGTGAGTGTAAACACCCAGATCTGCTTTCTAACAGATTCATTATTGACTGTTAGACTGATAACATAACTTCTTTGTTAAAAATCAGCGTACTAGAGTCCAATGAGACTTCTGCAAACTCTTTGTATTTCCTGTTTGCTGATTCATCAGAATTACATAACATGTGACAGCGCAGTGTGTGTGTGTGTGTGTGTGTGTCTTTATATATATGTTCCATGTCTGTCAGAAACACAGATCATTTCCAGTAATTCACAGTCAGCTGTTGGGCTCCAAGTGTGTGGGTGTAGTTTTCTGTTTGTCCAATAGATGGTAGTCCAAGCTCTGTTTTCTCCTCAAGTCTTTTCTGTGATTTCCACCTGAGCGATGAACAGAGGTGGAAGAAGTACTCAGATCTTGTACTTGAGTAGAAGTACCCAGATCTTGTACTTGAGTAAAAGTAGAAGTACTCAGATCTTGTGTAACCGGTGTCGTTAAGCGGTCTCTGTGTTGTGTTTTGCGTTGTTCATGGATGAGACCCGAGCCAGCATACAGTTTAGAGCAGGGGGGTCAAACTCAAATACACAGTGGGCCAAAATAAAAAAATGGGTACTAGTCGAGGGCCGGACTGGTTCAATGTTTATTGCAGAACTTATTTAAATGAACTTATTGCACATATTAAACCTGGAACTAACAAAGCTTAAATGATTGCCTATAAAAACAACATGAAATAATCAGTTGCATTCATTTCTTATGGCTCTATCTGCAGCTTTTCCAGAGTCATTTCTTATGAGTACATTTCTCCACAGGCCAACAACAGCTTCAACAAAACTATTTCCCTCAAAGAACAAACCAAACCCTGTTGTCGTGAGCAGGGCCGTATCCCGGATTTCCTAAATACCGAGGTCCAAACATGTTAGGGGGGTTCGGGGGATACCCCCCGAGATTTTGGGGATTTTCATGATCTAGTTAGGTGCTTTTTAAGTCCTGTGGGGGGTCACACATTGGATAATATATTGATTTCAAACCATGTCAGTGGGCTGACAATGTCAGCATCAATTATTTTTGAAAGTGTAATGCATGAGAATCAGTTGATTGTTACTATTAATGATCTGGAAGCAGAAGAGGCTAAAATGATCACAACACATTGTCAACATTCATTTTCCATGTCTCTCTCCTTTCTATAACCTGCAGCCTCTCTTCCATCACCTTTACTCTCTCTGTCCTCTACTCTCTCTCTTTGTTCAACCTCTCCCTCGTTGTTCACTTGTCGCTCCTGCCAGTGAATCAAAAGCAATTCAGCAATTTAGTTCATTTCACTCGTTTGTTTGCATTCTTTTTTTTATTTAAATCTGTTTTGTTTGATTCTCAAAAGAGAACAAAGATGTAAGCAAATTGTGTTTTATACAATTGTATGTTATTATGACATCATAACTGCAATAGATGTATGTTTTAAAATTATGCCTATTGTTATAGATAAACCAGATAGATAAATAGATGGGGTTATTAAGCATACATTATTTTTGTGTGACTGTACCTGCAGTGCCTCCCCTCACTTTCTCTCTCTCTCTCTCTCTCTCTCTCTCTCTCTTACCAACGCTGAGCTTCGACTGACGTCTTTTCATTATATCTGAGTCAGTGTAAAAAGAAAACAATACAATGTTATATCTTCAATGTTTTACTCAAATTGAAATGAAAGAAAAGCATTACAACGTTTGTTAAAAGGTTATCCTTCTGACATTGGATGAATGTAATTAACTTTAGCTCTCTAGCTAGTTTATTCACGCAATTTAAACCAAAGTATAGCCTATAGCTGCAATATAAGTTAGTGTGCTTGCTGTCGGACGTCCACTGACTAACGTAGAGCGTTCACACAGGATCTGCTGCTCATATGATGTCCTGATGAACAGAAACACAAGCAGCCCGCTGGACTCAGATCTCTAGATACCTCATCACTCCTTCGCTGCTCCGGTTCAAGTCCGGGCTGCGGTGGTTTGTTGATACATGTCGTCTTCTTCTGTTTGCTTTAATCGAGGCTGCGTAGTTATGCAGCGCCCCCATGGTCAGTAAATGGAAGTACTACAAAGAACCCCGTTTAGTGCGATTATTTCACAAGTTTTGTTATACACAGCTCGGAAAATATTACCGAGGTATCAATCAGTATCAATCAGTATTTGCCTCGGTGACCTCAATGGTAGATACGGCCATGGTCGTGAGAGAGAAAGTGCAGAAGGAAACATCCATTGAACTCAGTGTGCTGCTCTGTGATGCTAGTTCAGATACTTGGCATCTCATCTTGGGTGCAAGGTCATCAATGTTTGGGCTCAGGCTCTGAGCGGAGGAGACCCTCAGGATGGAGTGAAGGTGTGCGTGCAATATACCGACGGGCCAGGTCTAATAGTAATTAGAAATTATCCTGCGGGCCGAAATTAAATCCACCAAGGGCCTGATTTGGCCCCCGGGCCTTGAGTTTGACACATGCGGTTTAGACGACAATCTGACAAAATATAACAAATCAGTATTACAAGTGTTATCCCTCACAGTGACTCTTCTCACGTGGAACGTTTACAAAAAGGCAAGAGGAAACGTGAGGGACACAATAGGAAGGGGGAAGTCCCCACAAAAATAATCTTCTGAGTACAGGGACTACATTTCAGAGGTTCCGCCCACTGATCTCCGACCTTGAACATTCAATAAATGAAGAACACAGAATTATTAAATATAAAACACAGAATGTGTGTGATTATACTAAATGATGTTCACATGAACACCACTGCATATTCACAACTGTTACACTTGTACTTGAGTGAAAGTAGAAGTACTCAGATCTTGTACTTGTGTAAAAGTAGAAGTACTCAGATCTTGTACTTGAGTAAAAGTAGAAGTACTCAATTATTGTACTTGAGTAAAAGTAGAAGTACTCAATTATTGTACTTGAGTGAAAGTAGAAGTACTCAGATCTTGTACTTGTTAGCTAAAACTAATAATGAAAGAACTGGAAACACAGACTAAAGGTAATGTGTGTATATGTAGTGACGGTGGAGGAAGAGACTGCTAAGGACAAACTCAATCCACAGTGAAATGAAAACATATAGAGTTTGAGTTTATCATGTGATGGAAGATAAACAAAATGGTGGGCTACAACTTTGAAATCATAAATAAATTAAATAAATGTGTTTTGGTGCCCATCACAAAAAAGTCCATTCATATTCTGGGAGAATACAGTAATAGATGCAATAAATGCAGCAGGGTTAATAATCCAGAAACACATGTACAGTGGGGCAAAAATGTATTTAGTCAGCCACCAATTGTGCAAGTTCTCCCACTTAAAAAGATGAGAGGCCTGTAATTGTCATCCTAGCTACACTTCAACTATGAGAGACAAAATGAGAAAAAAAAAAATCCAGAAAATCCCATTGTCTGATTTTTAAAGAATGTATTTGCAAATTATGGTGGAAAATAAGTATTTGGTCAATAACAAAAGTTCATCTCAATACTTTGTTATATACCCTTTGTTGGCAATGACAGAGGTCAAACGTTTTCTGTAAGTCTTCACAAGGTTTTCACACACTGTTGCTGGTATGTTGGCCCATTCCTCCATGCAGATCTCCTCTAGAGCAGTGATGTTTTGGGGCTGTCGCTGGGCAACACGGACTTTCAACTCCCTCCAAAGATTTGCTATGGGGTTGAGATCTGAAGACTGGCTAGGCCACTCCAGGACCTTGAAATGCTTCTTACGAAGCCACTCCTTCGTTGCCCGGGGTGGTGTGTTTGGGATCATTGTCATGCTGAAAGACCCAGCCACGTTTCATCTTCAATGCCCTTGCTGATGGAAGGAGGTTGTCACTCAAAATCTCACGATACATGGCCCCATTCATTCTTTCCTTTACACGGATCAGTGGTCCTGGTCCCTTTGCAGAAACACAGCCCCAAAGCATGATGTTTCCACCCCCATGTTTCACAGTAGGTGTTCTTTGGATGCAACTCAGCATTCTTTCTCCTCCAAACACGTCTAGTTGAGTTTTTACCAAAAAGTTCTATTTTGGTTTCATCTGACCATATGACATTCTCCCAATCCTCTTCTGGATCATCTAAATGCTCAAAATAAAAGCAATGCGGTTTTAGTCCACCCATAAGATAATTAGAAAATATGTTTTATTTTCTAATTATCATGTCTTTCGCGGGCCGGTCAGAATCATCCCGCGGGCCGTATTTGGCCCGCGGGCCGTACAATGCCCAGGTCTGATCTAAATGCTCTCTAGCAAACTTCAGACGGGCTTGGACATGTACTGGCTTAAGCAGGGGGACACGTCTGGCACTGCAGGATTTGAGTCCCTGGGTCGTAGTGTGTTACTGATGGTAGCCTTTGTTACTTTGGTCCCAGCTCTCTGCAGGTCATTGACTAGGTCCCCCCGTGTGGTTCTGGGATTTTTGCTCACCGTTCTTGTGAACATTTTGACCCCACGGGGTGAGATCTTGCGTGGAGCCCCAGATCGAGGGAGATTATCAGTGGTCTTGTATGTCTTCCATTTTCTAATAATTGCTCCCACAGTTGATTTCTTCACACCAAGCTGCTTACCTATTGCAGATTCAGTCTTCCCAGCCTGGTGCAGGTCTACCATTGTGTTTCTGGTGTCCTTTGACAGCTCTTTGGTCTTGGCCATAGTGGAGTTTGGAGTGTGACTGTTTGAGGTTGTGGACAGGTGTCTTTTATACTGATAACGAGTTCAAACAGGTGCCATTAATACAGTTAACGAGTGGAGGACAGAGGAGGCTCTGGAAGAAGAAGGTACAGGTCTGTGAGAGCCAGAAATCTTGTTTGTTTGTAGGTGACCAAATACTTATTTTACCGAGGAATTTACCAATTAATTCATTAAAAATCCTACAATGTGATTTCCTGGATTCTTTCCCCCCATTCTGTCTCTCATAGTTGAAGTGTACCTAGGATGACAATTACAGGCCTCTCTCACCTTTTTAAGTGGGAGAACTTGCACAATTGGTGGCTGACTAAATACTTTTTTGTCCCCTATAGATAATAGAGAACAATTGAATGCACAGTTAACACTAGAGTACTTAAATACCTCAACACTTCAGTGAGGTTTTGAATGCAGGAAGTTTACTGGGTTATTTCCACACTGGTATTCATGTTTTCAATAACTTTGTTGAGCTTGTTTTTAGCTTTATCTCTATCTCACTGAACAGAGTCCCTGGATGTGAACTGGTTCAGCTGATAAGGCTGGTTATAACACAGAGGGAGGAGCTGCAGACATGTGAAGGTGTTAAAGTCCCATTAAGAAGTCGGACTGCCAGACGCCATTTTACAGCTCGCCGGAGCAGAAGGAGAACAACGGGGTGAGTGTAAACACCAAGATCTGCTTTCTAAAAGATTCATTATTTACTCTGTTAGACTGATAACATAACTTCTTTGTTAAAAATCAGCGTCCTAGAGTCCAATGAGACTTCTGCAAACTCTTTGTATTTCCTGTTTGCTGATCCGTCAGAGTTACATAACATGTGACAGCGCAGTCAAAATGGAGGCCTGTCCTGTCCTGATGTTTTTAACCAAGTTTATTACTATGATGGTTTGGATTGAAAAAAGCGTATTATTATAGTGTGTGTGTGTGTGTGTGTGTGTGTGTGTGTGTGTGTGTGTGTGTGTGTGTGTGTGTGTGTGTGTGTGTGTGTGTGTGTGTGTGTGTGTGTGTGTGTGTGTGTGTGTGTGTGGTGTGTGTGTGTGTGTGTGTGTACTGATGTATCTCTCAGACTGGAGAAGATGAGTGATTTAAAAGATGAGGAAGAGGACACACCTTCAGTCTCCAGCTGTCTGTCTCTGAAGAGTGATCGGTCTATAGACTGGTTTCCAGACTTCAGAAATGACCCTGGACCCTCAGACACAGAGTAAGAGTTTCTGCTGTAAACTGACCTGAAGAGGATTCAGCTTTTATACAACCTGATATATTAAGGATATTTCAATATGCAATCATAGTATCATTGCATCTGTGGCATAACATGGTTTTAAATGGCACAAATATTGATTTAAAAACTAAAGACAAAATATATCGTCTAAAACATTATTCACTACTTGGGCATGTTTATGTATTATTAAGATGTTTATTAATAATAGTGATAACCTGGTGAGCTGGTTGTGTTTGGCATTATCAGATATTAGTTGTGGGAGAAATAATCCATACAGCATAGTATCACGATACTTTGCGTGGCGATATTGTATCGATACACAGATGCCAAGTTTAAAAAAATATATATAAACTGTAGCATATCCAAAAGATGGTCGTATATAAAACAGGAAGTTACTTTAAGACATGAATACAATTGCAATGAAAGTAACAAAAACAATGCTGTGTGTGTGTGTGTTTGTGTGTGTTTGTGATCTCGTATCTCTCAGACTGGAGAAGATGAGTGATTTAAAAGATGAGGAAGAGGACACACCTTCAGTCTCCGGCTGTCTGTCTCTGAAGAGTGACCGGTCTAGAGGGCAACCTCTAAGCTTCAGAAATGACCCTGGACCCTCAGACACAAAGTAAGAGTTTCTGCTGTAAACTGACCTGAAGAGGACTCAGCTTTCATACAACCTAATATATTAAGGATATTTCAATATGCAATCATATTAGGGCTGCACGATATTGGAAAAAACTGACATTGCGATTTCCCCCCCTGCGATATATATTGCGATATGAAAACATACAGGAATTGAAGAAAATACCGTTTTTTCCCCCCAAACCATCCTTTCTTGAACTTTAATGATACAATTGGTATTTTTTTAACTATATTTAACCGGATGAAGGATTTTAGTCACTGACGTCTGGATCTTAAGTTATCAGAGCAACAATTTGAGCTAGCTCTGTTGTGGCAATTTAGCACTCACAACAGGAAAGAATGAAACAGAGAGGAATCAATGAAACACAAACACAGAAATAGTTGAGATTAATCATTATTATTTAGCTGCGCACCACCAAACAACAATGGGGAAACATTACCTTCTCTCAAGCACTCAAACAGCAATGCTCCCACGAATACAAGAAACACAGGGGAGATATATGTTTCTAAATGACACACGAACATGTTCCCTAAACATGTTTAACGCACACATTGTCAGGTCTCCTAAACTTGGACATGTTCCAGATGTCGAAAGGTCATCATCTCATGACGTCTTTAGGAGTCTTGCAGGATATGAATTATCCAATTAACAAACTATATACGTCTGCACACATACATACATTTCTTACATTAACTAACACTTAACTGTATTATATCTAAATGTAGCCTCTTTGCATTTCATCTGAGCTTGGCATCAGCTCACTTAACGTAATAATTAGCAAAGAGAAGATTCTATGGAAACTGTAACCTAATAACATACCTAGTTACTATGACTAGGTCAAAGATTGATATAACAGCTCGGTTAGCAGCGCCAAACTGCCCTGGAGAAACACATGAAACGACTTTATTCAGTGTTTTTACCTTTAATCACCGGGTCCGTTTGCTTTAGAGATTTGATTGTGATTGGTGGTTTGCTGTCACTCACTCAAGTACCCTGACATGAGCGCCGCGCAAGTTTTCCTTTTGTAGCAAGCAGCAAAATAATTGTTACATGACGTGTTTGAGTTAATTTGCCTACATTACAATGCGCATTTCGCGGTTATCGTCACGACACGATATATCGTGCAGCCCTAAATCATAGTAGCATTGCATCTGTGGCATAACATGGTTTTAAATGGCACAAATATTGATAAATACTAACTAAATATATCGTCTAAAACATTATTCACTACTTGGGCATGTTTAAGATATGATAACCTGGTGAGCTGGTTGTGTTCAGCATTAGCAGATATAATACTAATAAATTATATTTATATAGCGCTTTTCTGGAATTCAAAGACGCTTTACAGTATGAGGGAGGGTAGACAAACAAGGACAGGCAAAACATATATATATATATATATATATATATATATACAGTGGGGCAAAAAAGTATTTAGTCAGCCACCAATTGTGCAAGTTCTCCCACTTCAAAAGATGAGAGAGGCCTGTAACTTTCATCCTAGGTACACTTCAACTATGAGAGACAGAATGGGGGGAAAGAATCCAGGAAATCACATTGTAGGATTTTTAATGAATTAATTGGTAAATTCCTCGGTAAAATAAGTATTTGGTCACCTACAAACAAACAAGATTTCTGGCTCTCACAGACCTGTAACTTCTTCTTCCAGAGCCTCCTCTGTCCTCCACTCGTTAACTGTATTAATGGCACTTGTTTGAACTCGTTATCAGTATAAAAGACACCTGTTCACAACCTCAAACAGTCACACTTCAAACTCCACTATGACCAAGACCAAAGAGCTGTCAAAGGACACCAGAAACAAAATTGTAGACCTGCACCAGGCTGGGAAGACTGAATCTGCAATAGGTAAGCAGCTTGGTGTGAAGAAATCAACTGTGGGAGCAATTATTAGAAAATGGAAGACATACAAGACCACTGATAATCTCCCTCGATCTGGGGCTCCACGCAAGATCTCACCCCGTGGGGTCAAAATGATCACAAGAACGGTGAGCAAAAATCCCAGAACCACACGGGGGGACCAAGTCAATGACCTGCAGAGAGCTGGGACCAAAGTAACAAAGGCTACCATCAGTAACACACTACGCCGCCAGGGACTCAAATCCTGCAGTGCCAGACGTGTCCCCCTGCTTAAGCCAGTACATGTCCAGGCTCGTCTGAAGTTTGCTAGAGAGCATTTAGATCAGACCTGGGCATTGTACGGCCTGCGGGCCAAATACGGCCCGCGGGATGATTCTGACCGGCCCGCGAAAGATTACATGATAATTAGAAAATAAAACATATTTTCTAATTATCTTATGGGTGGACTAAAAACCGCATTGCTTTTATTTTGAAGCCCATTTATTCTCACCGTGCACACAATCGTGCACGTCAACTGTGCACGTGAAATGCGTGTCTACCTTCCTTGTCACCCTTGAAAAATGCGAAAATGTCGGCTCATGCCAAAAAGAGGAAAGTGGATTCCGAAAGCAGAACTTTCAAACAAATATGGACTACTAATTTTGTCTTTACTGAAGTCAAGGGTAAACCTGTGTGTTTGGTTTGTGGGGAGCATGTCGCCGTGTTTAAAGAGTACAATTTGAAACCGCATTACGAGACGAAACATGCCGCGAAATACAAAAACTTGACTGATGCCGAACGAGCGCGGACATCAACGGATTTACTAGCAAAGCTAGAAAAACAATAAGGCTGTTTTACAAAGCTGCATGCAGACAGAGATGCAGCGACCAGAACCAGCTTTGTGATAGCCCACAAAATCGCCCAGAACAATAAGCCATTCTCTGAGGGGGAGTTTGTGAAAGAGTGCATGGTCGAGTCTGCAGCATTGCTATGCCCAGAGAAAAAAGAAGCGTTTGAAAACATCCCGCCGCACCGTGACGAGAAGTGTGGAGGACATCGCAGAGAATCTGGAGTTTCAGCTGCAAAGTGAAGTGGGAAGCTTCAACTTTTTTTCTTTGGCTTTGGATGAGAGCTGTGACTTCAAGCTTACGGAGGAGCTGGCAGCAATGCGGCTAATGAAAGGAACCACAACGGGGAGTGATCTGTTCACCGAGGTAAACGCATGCATGGACAAACTGGGACTCGAATGGGACAGACTGGCAGGTGTCACTACGGATGGATGTCCGAATTTAACAGGGAAAAATGTTGGGCTTTTTAAAGTGAGTGAACTCAACGCAGAGCAGAAATTTGTGTTTATACATTGTATTATTCATCAGCAAGCGTTGTGCAAGTCAGTGCTAAAACTTAGCCATGTGGTTGATGTTGTTACTACAACAGTTAATTTCATCAGAGCGCGAGCATTAAATCACAGGCAGTTTGTTTCACTATTGGAGGAGCAAGAGAGCGAACATGGTGATGTCAGGTACCACACAGCTGTCAGATGGCTCAGCCTGGGCAAAGTGCTAAAAAGGTTTTGGGTTCTGAAATCAGAGATAAAAGAGTTTTGTGAGATGAAAGGCAAAACCATCCCAGAGCTGTCTGATAAGGACTGGATGGCAGATTTAACATTTGCTGTTGATGTGACTGCAATGATGAATGCACTGAACACACAACTGCAGGGCAAGGGCCTTTTTGCTCATGAAATGCATAGCCATGTGAAAGCCTTCATGACAAAGTTGCAATTAATTTCAAGGCAACTAGGCAGCAACAATCTCGAACACATGAAAACCCTGAAAGAAGTCAAACCATCAGCTGATCACCGGCACAGGTACTCATCCATGTTAGGAGCACTGCAAGATGAATTTTCAAGGCGTTTTCAAGATTTCAAAAAGGTTGAGGATGAAATGCAGCTGGTTTCCTCTCCCTTTACCTGCAGTGTCGATAGTGCACCCAATGATGTTCAGCTTGAACTCATTGACCTGCAGTCTGATTCACGACTGAAAGAGCACTTTAAGTCAGCATCACTGCTAGAGTTCTACTCTGCTCTCAAGGAGGAGAACTTTCCAAACATGAGGAGACATGCTCAGAAGATGTTGGTTCTCTTTGGATCCACCTACACATGTGAACAGACATTGTCAGTCATGAAGTTGACCAAATCCAGGTACAGATCCTCTCTCACTGATGAACATCTGTCAGCTGTGCTTCGCATCTCCACCTCAGACATTCAACCTGACTTTGATGGACTTGTTAAAGCTCAACAGAGACTGGATTTCTCACACTGAATGAAAAAAAAGAACTGAAGAACACTAAAATGTGGGAATATAACAAGTGAAATGGGACACTTGATCTTTTTATTTTCTTTTTTTGCACAGTTCTGAAAACATTAAATGTTTAATATAGGCATGTAAAGTCAAAAAGGCTACAAAACTGGGACACTTTTCTTTACACAGTTACACAGTTCAGTGACATGTCTTGTTTATTTTGGCTACAAAGATGATGTGAGGTCTTTAGAAAGCTAAGAAAATCCTTGTTTCAATAGTATATGAAACTCAAAATGCCCTTTGTTATTAATGTGACTGAAAATGAGTCAAATGTTTCACATTTTGGAAATTCTATTTGAATAAATGATATTTTTGAAAGCTAACCTCACCTTTTAATTGCCAAATAATAACATACACTCTTACCAGCGGTCAAAACAATGCCATTTACTGCTTTTTATATAGAAATAAAATGTATATTATGCATAATTGAGTTCGGCATTTTGGCCCGGCCCTCCAAAATATTTTCAGTTGCTCATTTGGCCCCCTGGGAAAAATAATTGCCCACCCCTGATTTAGATGATCCAGAAGAGGATTGGGAGAATGTCATATGGTCAGATGAAACCAAAATAGAACTTTTTGGTAAAAACTCAACTAGACGTGTTTGGAGGAGAAAGAATGCTGAGTTGCATCCAAAGAACACCTACTGTGAAACATGGGGGTGGAAACATCATGCTTTGGGCTTGTGTTTCTGCAAAGGGACCAGGACCACTGATCCGTGTAAAGGAAAGAATGAATGGGGCCATGTATCGTGAGATTTTGAGTGACAACCTCCTTCCATCAGCAAGGGCATTGAAGATGAAACGTGGCCGGGTCTTTCAGCATGACAATGATCCCAAACACACCACCCGGGCAACGAAGGAGTGGCTTCGTAAGAGGCATTTCAAGGTCCTGGAGTCTCCAGATCTCAACCCCATAGAAAATCTTTGGAGGGAGTTGAAAGTCCGTGTTGCCCAACGACAGCCCCAAAACATCACTGCTCTAGAGGAGATCTGCATGGAGGAATGGGCCAACATACCAGCAACAGTGTGTGAAAACCTTGTGAAGACTTACAGAAAACGTTTGACCTCTGTCATTGCCAACAAAGGGTATATAACAAAGTATTGAGATGAACTTTTGTTATTGACCAAATACTTATTTTCCACCATAATTTGCAAATAAATTCTTGAAAAATCAGACAATGTGATTTTCTGAATTTTTTTTTTTCTCATTCTGTCTCTCATAGTTGAAGTGTAGCTAGGATGACAATTACAGGCCTCTCATCTTTTTAAGTGGGAGAACTTGCACAATTGGTGGCTGACTAAATACTTTTTTGCCCCACTATAATGTTTTTTGTGAGATTACATGTAGAGTCAATGCAAACCCCAGATCTGTGCCTGGCAACACACAGGAAGTGAAGATGTGAAATTCATGTCACATGCGTATTCGTGCAGCGTGAAACATTTAATCTTGAGTGTAAAGTGACGCTCAGCCCATTGGTGAGGATCAGCTCCACTAATGTAGAGTGCTATAAAGGATGTGTTCATCTCCACAGAGGGAAGAGCAGGAGTCCTGCCAGTCAGACCAGAACTGCACGAGGTAAGAGGCCGAACTCATGCAGCGCTTCATTCCTCTTCCTGGTTCATTTGTATACTGTTGTAGAGCATAGACAGTAAGCTGTTTATAAAACATTTAAACTCTGTTTTTTAATTAGATTCTCAGAGCATGTTCCTCATTCTCTCCTGTTTCCTTCTCTTCCAGCAGAGAGTGGTCTGCAGGAGGTTCTAGATGAACATAGGCTCAGTCTGAGGAGGAGATGTGAACGTGTGACTGAAGGAACTGATCAAAGTGAAACCCTTCTCAACAGCATCTTCACTGAGCTCTACATCACACAAGGCCAGAGTGAAGAGGTTAATACCCAGCATGAGGTGAGGCAGCTGGAGACAGCTTCCAAGAAGGAGACCCTCCATGACACTCCCATCAAGTACAGGGACATCTTTAAAGCCTCACCTGACCAACAGACTCCCATCAGAGCGGTCCTGACCAACGGAGTCGCTGGAGTTGGAAAAACCTTCTCAGTGCAGAAGTTCACTCTGGACTGGGCCGAGCGTTTGGGAAACCAAGATGTCCGTCTGGTGATCCCGCTCTCCTTCAGGGAGCTGAACCTGATCAAAGGTGAGCAGTACAGTCTTCTCAGGCTGCTCCATGTTTTCCATCCAACCTTACAGAAGGTCACAGCAGAGCAGCTGGCTGTCTGCAAAGTGCTGCTCATCTTTGACGGCCTGGATGAAAGCAGACTTTCTCTGGACTTCAGAAACAATAAGGTTGTGTCTGATGTCTCTCAGCAGTCCTCAGTCAACGTGCTGCTGACAAACCTCATCAGGGGGAAGCTGCTTCCCTCGGCTCTCGTCTGGATAACTTCCAGACCTGCAGCGGCCAATCAGATCCCTCCTGAGTGTGTGGACAGGGTAACAGAAGTACGAGGCTTCACTGACGCCCAGAAGGAGGAGTACTTCAGGAGGAGATTGAGTGATGAAGACCTGTCCAGCAGAATCATCTCTCACATCAAGAGCTCCAGGAGCCTCCACATCATGTGTATGATCCCAGTCTTCTGCTGGATCACTGCTGCAGTTCTGGACCACATGTTGACTACAGACCAGAGAGGAGAGCTGCCCCAGACCCTCACTGACATGTACTCACACTTCCTGCTGGTCCAGACCAAGAGGAAGAAGCAGAAGTATGAAGCGGGACATGAGACGAGTCCACAGCAGCTGACGGAGGCTGACAGGGAGCTTCTTCTGAAGCTGGGGAGGCTGGCGTTTGAACATCTGGAGAAAGGAGACATCATGTTCTACCAAGAAGACCTGCAGCGCTGTGGCCTTGGTGTCACCGAGGCCTTGGTGCACTCAGGAGTTTGTACAGAGATCTTCAAAAGAGAGAGTGTGATCTTCCAGAAAACAATCTACTGCTTTGTTCATCTGAGCATTCAGGAGTTCCTGGCTGCAGTCTACTTGTTGCACTGTTACACCAACAGAGACACAGCGGTACTGAAGGACTTCCTGCAGAGTGATCAGGATTACTCATCCCTGGATGTCTTCCTGCAGAGAGCCATGGAGAAATCCCTCAGAAGTGAAAATGGCCACCTGGACCTGTTTGTCCGCTTTCTCCACGGCCTCTCTCTGGAGTCCAACCAGAGACTGTTAGGAGGCCTGCTGGGTCGCACAGACAACATACGAGAAACCATCCAGAGACTGTTAGGAGGCCAGCTGGGTCGCACAGACAGCCGTCCAGAGATCATCCAGAGAGCCATCAGCAACCTGAAGGAGATGAGCAGTGATGAAATCTCTCCTGACAGGAGCATCAACATCTTCCACTGTCTGACAGAGATGAAGGACCACTCAGTACATCAGGAGATCACAGAGTTCCTGAAGACAGAGAACAGATCAAAGAAGGAACTCTCTGTGATCCACTGCTCTGTTCTGGCCTACATGCTGCAGATGTCAGAGGAGGTTCTGGATGAGTTGGACCTGAAGAAGTACAGAGCATCAGAGGAGGGACGACGGAGACTGATTCCAGCTGTGAGGAACTGCAGGAAGGCCAAGTGAGTCAGATGTGATTCACTTTATAAACTAATGAGGATCAGGAGTTTAATTATTCAAATGAACACGATAACATTTCTGCTGTTTAAATACTGAGAGCAAAATAAACCAACACTGTTCTTCTATTTATTTATAATAATAGTTAACCAGTTAAGCCCTGAGCCTGTTTTTCAGGTTTCAGGCTCGAAAATGCCACTAACACAACAAATGATATATCTTCACTTCTAAAAGGGGTGAATTAATAATTATTTTTCTCAAAGCAAGGTTACATCTGTGAGTTGGATGTAGAAGTGTCAGAATCAATATAGATGTTTTTATTTTAAAGTAAATTCAGATGGAACATAGTAAAAACATGTAAATTCTAATGTCCACCTAAAAAAAAACCTTTACTTATCGTGAAAACCACCCTTGCATGATGGGTTAGTAGACTAAAAGCTTTAGGAATCCAAACTATAACATATAATAAGTACCCTGTATCAAGATTGATGCAAAACAAGTGAAATTTGACCTTTTTAGAGAGATTTAGAAAAATAAAGTCTAAGCGGACTCACCTCTGGGTAATTTGGGAACCATCGGTTCCATTTGAACTTTTTCACTGTAAAAATCATTTTATTACTTTGAATTATTACTATAGGTATTCATTCCATCCAAATACAACTGTTGTGAAAATAAATAAATAAATAAAACATAGGCTTACTCTTACAGTGAGCCTCTGAATTAGCCCCGAGCGAAAAATGCTAACCTATTACAGCACCGAAAATCACTCCTCGCTCCCTTATTACTTATCCTAGCTGCACATCCAACACATTGTTTATGATCGCAAGGAGACACAGAATCTAACGGTGCCTACCTGAACAGCCCAACACTGAAAGATACAAACTCGCGACGTTATCAACAAAAACGTACATCAAAACAAATGGCGCTAGCGCTAATGCGCTAGGCTAACAATGACTTACCTTCCTCGTTGTCTGGTCTAAACTGGTCTTCAATGGCATTAAAACGATAACAACGATGATGTAGTTAATCCATAGATTAATATCCAATGGGGCTGTGTCCCCTTTGAAATGTTCTGATAATCTATAAGCAATAAAACTGCAATTCCGTTATCTGCTGTCCGCTCTGTGCTCCGTGCGCTCTGGGTAACAATAAATGAAGTCGGCTGCGTAATGTTGGCACGCTGGCTGGCATTCTTTATAGTTTACGCAGGACCATATCTCTGGAACCCATTGGTCGATTCGTGTGATTTACACCTTTTTCTTAACCATCAGAACCAATATAATCGATGGGCAGTTCCCAAATCTACGTAAACATTACCATAGCGGACGTAATAGAGAAGCAAACGAAGCATATCTGAAAGTGCAAGCCTGGACGGCAATACTTTATACCGAGTATATTGCCATAAATATGATGATTGATTATCAATAACAAATTCTACGTGACACAAAGACATTGGATTAATCTTGAGATGCGTTTTTATTCCGTTGAACACAACTTTTGATCACAAATCAAAAAAGGTAGGACGTAATTATTGTAATATTTTTGGAACTGGATGTTGTTTACTTTCTCTTTTCTGGCTGATAGCTCCATGAATTCGAGGTCGGACAGTGATGACATTACATCTGTGGAGTCTCAGCTTTAAATCGTATATCTTGTTTGTGAAGTTAAGATAGTAATAAGGGCATTTCTACCGTGTGTTGTGTGTAAAAAAGCGTTAGCATTAGTTAGCATTTTTTCGCTCAATGCTAATTCAAAGGCTTGGTATTACTCTTGTGTTTTTTTTAGCTAACAATTGTTCTTATTGTCAGTTAGCGGAGTTTCTTACCTTTTTAAAAGGGGAATGAAACATTAATAGTTTCATAAATGTTAAGAAGCCCTGAGACATGTGAGAGAGAAAAAACTGTGGGAGGGGTCCACTGGGGGGACCTTCGGGCTTAACTGGTTAAACTGAAGCGTTCCTCTCTTCATGTTGAGTGAAGGAGGCGACATGTCAAACACATGAAGGACTCTAGAGGTTTCTCAGCATGTGATCACACCACACAGCAGGACTCACAGTTATCACTGAAAGCACTTATTACTTTCTAGTAGTTTCTTTATCATTAAACAGACACACGTTTTTATCACAATGTGTTGGAGTTTAAAATAAGATCTATATCATTTCCCACCAATAACAGAGTTATGTCTTAATGCTTGAGTTTAATATAATGTTTCCTCTTTTTAACACATGTTGTAATTTATATGTTATTATAGACTCACTAACTGTGGACTCTCAGAGACTGAATGTGAAGTCCTGGCCTCAGCTCTGAAGTCTGACCCCTCCCATCTGAGAGATCTGGACCTGAGTAACAACGCTCTGAAGGACTCAGGAGTGGAGCGTCTGAGTTCTGGACTAAAGAGTCCAAACTGCAGACTGGAGACCCTCAGGTCAGTTCACTGACTGCAGTTCATACATATCTGTTTGTGTTTATGATTTACTGAAAGAACAAATAGAATATTATTGTTATTTTGTCCACTTTGCTAATGACTGAATATTGATCAGAGTAACAGAGAGAAGGTGAATGTGTGAGGGAGAGAGTCTGAGCTTCCACAGACTCACTCTGAGCTCCAGGAGTCAGTGGAGATGCTGTCAGGACTGATGAGCTGTGAGGGAGAGGAAGGAGTTGATGAACATCTGATCAAAGTTAGAGTTCCAGATTATCAGTGGATTGTTTCTAAATCATCTCTGACATTAAAATCCTGTTTGACTCTGATCAGATGATTACACCTGGAGTTATTTCTAACAGGAACTTTGTTTTCTATGTTAAAAGAAAATAAATATTTGTAATAATAAACACATTTGTATTTGTTGTGTAGGACTCTCCGTTAGAGAGTAACGTTCAGGGGTTAAGTTGGTGTTTGATATGTGGGGGGGCTCTCTGTGGAGGTGCGAGGGTTTATATTAAATTATTAATATATAAATAAAAGGTTTACAAATATCCAACCTTCAAATGACTATTTTAAATCAACGTTGCTCTGCACACTTGCTGAAGATCATTTGTGTGGAGATCTCAGTTCATTTGTAGAGCTGCTCGAGTATAGCCAGAAGTATGAGAGTAAATCTCACTGCAAACTATTCCATCACCACCAGATTCAGTGATCTCAGCTTTATACACACACACACACACACACACACACACACACACACACACACACACACACACACACACACACACACACACACACACACACACACACACACACACACACACACACACACATTTAGCATGGCTTAGGAAACAGCTCCGTGTTACAGGATGGTCGGGGGGTTTGGCACACACACACACTGATCGGAGCAGAGACACGTTCACTAAGCCGAAAAACTATACCCTGGAAACGTTACACGTGTTTTTTTATTGATATTTTTCTCAAGATATTTTAAATGGCACGGTCGTAAACATTGAATTAATCCATTTGATAATATGTAATCAACTTAGGCACCCCTCCCATAGAAACAATAATCATTACAATACAGATATTCATAACTCATATTCCAATACCTGAATCATTTTGAATATTGGATGAATCATTCCCATCCCTAATTCAAACCCTGTTTGACTCTGATCAGATTATTAAACCTGGAGTTATTTCTAACAGGAACTTTGTTTTCTAAAGTTACATCATGTTTTCTTTATTCAGTCTGAGTGGCTGCAGGTTGTCAGAGATCAGCTGTTCTGCTCTGGCCTCAGCTCTGAAGTCCAACCTCCATCTGAGAGTTCTGAACCTGAGTTTCAACGCTCTGAAGGATTCAGGAGTGGAGCTGCTGAGAGATCTTCTGGAGAGTCCAGACTGCAGACTGGAGACCCTCAGGTCAGTGAGGGGTCTCTGCTGGTTCAGCAGTATGGTATGAAACTCAGGGAGGTGTTTCTCTCTCTGGGGAACAGATCAGTGATGTTACCCACTGACTGCAGGCTCTTCCATTCTTCCATCAACTAGAGAAGGCCAGCTGGAAATGCAAAGCCTCACTTTAGTAATCTACTCTCTGACAGACATGTGGGGTTTACAGAAGAGAGGGAAAGGTAGTCTGTTCTTTATTTTAATGTTTTGTATGTGATGTTTTCAGTTTGTAGACTAATGGCTGGTATGTCATCACATCTGGATGTCATCATGCTACCATGAGCAGCTGGTTAGCTTGACTTAGCAAACAGATGGGGAAACAGCTGGCCTGGCTTCCTCTGGTTTTTGTTCTTTATCCTTTAATTTTCACACAATTGTTCATTTGAGCAATGCTGACTTTAATAAATATGTAAATCAGGATCACAAGAGAAACAGACGAGCTGACTCTCCTCCAACACATGTCTTTCTATCCATTATGAATAATCACGCAAACATAACATCTAGTAAAATGATGTTCTCCTCAAATGCATGGGTCTATCCCCAGAGAAGGACTTCCAGCAGCTCTGCAGTCACAGAGCAGAGTAAGGGAGCCATGCCTCCCACAGAGCCTACCACAGTGTGCCTCTGGGATGTGATGCGTGTTGAAGTTATTCGCCTGTTGGTTATGGACCAATCTTGGTGCTCCTCCCCTTTTTGCCAGTTGTACCTGACCTACCAGAAAGGCAACCTTAAGAGCTGAGATGAGATATAACAGACTCCCTCTGAGCTCCATGAGTCAGTGGAGATGCTGTAAAAACAAATATATATATTTTTCATAATAAATACATTTTTGTTTGTCGTGTAGGACTCTCCGTTAGAGAGCAACGTTCAGGGGTTAAGTTGGTGTTTGATATGTGGGGGGGCTCTCTGTGGAGGTGCGAGGGTTTATATTAAATTATTAATATATAAACAAAAGGTTTACAAATATCCAACCTTCAAATTACTATTTTAAATCAACGTTGCTCTGCACACTTGCTGAAGATCATTTGTGTGGAGATCTCAGTTCATTTGTAGAGCTGCACGAGTATAGCCAGAAGTATGAGAGTAAATCTCACTGCAAAATATTCCATCATCACTGTAAGGGAAACTTCTGCAGCAATGGAGAGTCAGGACTCAGAGAGACACGAGGAGAGTTGAAGCTTTGATGTCAAACAATGATAGTTTATTACAAGAATACGGCCAGAGAATTCATATCACAAGTCAAAGCAGCAAAAGGTTCTGACTGCACGGGTGGGTTGTCATGTCAATTCTGATCAGCCTCGCATCTTGGTAGACCTTTTAACTAGTTTACAGAGAGTCAAATCCACATATTGGGGATGGGCGTAAACCATGGCGTAAACACATCTGCAGAGGAGATGTCTCTCCCATCTCTGGAGCTTAGAAACCAGCGTTCTTACACTCGTAAAAACCCTCCCTATGCCCTGTAGGTCAAGCTGTAAAAACCTAGTATCAACATGCGACTGCATCAACACATTCCTTACGGAAGATAAGGAGCAGGGATGGTCGTACATGTCAACACACAGTAAATGTTAAATATCTTAGGAGTAAGGAAGAATTATTATTTGACACTTAGGAAGAGAGAAGAAATATTCTCTAACAATCACCAGATTCAGTGATCATAACTCAGCTTTATGCACACACACACACACACACACACACACACACACACACACACACACACACACACACACACACACACACACACACACACACACAGTCAACTCATATGGATCTTAAATAAAGTCTAAATTAAGAACGAGAAAAGTTTTAACATGTATATAGTTTTTTGTAAACATGTGAGAAATGTGCGAGGGTGATGACGTCAGAGCATCGTCCTCTGGGCTGAGCCCTGGAAACGTTACAAGTGTTTTTTTGTTGTTGATATTTTTCTCAAGATATTTTAAATGGCACGGTCGTAAACATTGAATTAATCCATTTGATAATATGTAATCAACTTAGGCACCCCTCCCATAGAAACAATAATCATTACAATACAGATATTCATAACTCATATTCCAATACCTGAATCATTTTGAATATTGGATGAATCATTCCCATCCCTAATTCAAACCCTGTTTGACTCTGATCAGATTATTAAACCTGGAGTTATTTCTAACAGGAACTTTGTTTTCTAAAGTTACATCATGTTTTCTTTATTCAGTCTGAGGAGCTGCAGCTTGTCAGAGATCAGCTGTTCTGCTCTGGCCTCAGCTCTGAAGTCCAACATCCATCTGAGAGTTCTGAACCTGAGTTGGAACGCTCTGAAGGATTCAGGAGTGGAGCTGCTGAGAGATCTTCTGGAGAGTCCAGACTGCAGACTGGAGACCCTCAGGTCAGTGAGGGGTCTCTGCTGGTTCAGCAGTATTGTATGAAACTCAGGGAGGTGTTTCTCTCACTGGGGAACAGATCAGTGATGTTACCCACTGACTGCAGGCTCTTCCATTCTTCCATCAACTAGAGAAGGCCAGCTGGAAATGCAAAGCCTCACTTTAGTAATCTACTCTCTAACAGACATGTGGGGTTTACAGAAGAGAGGGAAAGGTAGTCTGTTCTTTATTTTAATGTTTTGTATGTGATGTTTTCAGTTTGTAGACTAATGGCTGGTATGTCATCACATCTGGATGTCATCATGCTACCATGAGCAGCTGGTTAGCTTGACTCAGCAAACAGATGGGGAAACAGCTGGCCTGGCTTCCTCTGGTTTTTGTTCTTTATCCTTTAATTTTCACACAATTGTTAATTTGAGAAATGCAAACTTTAATAAATATGAACATTAGGATCACAAGAGAAACAGACGAGCTGACTCTCCTCCAACACATGTCTTTCTATCCATTATGAATAATCACGCAAACATAACATCTAGTCAAATGATGTTCTCCTCAAATGCATGGGTCCATCCCCCAGAGAAGGACTTCCAGCAGCTCTGCAGTCACAGAGCAGAGTAAGGCCCTGACACACCAGGCCGAAATCGGCCGTATTAGTTAGTCGGACGACGAAGCGTGCCCTGTCGCCCAAACTCAATTTGGTGTGTCCCGCACCGTCGGCCGTGACACTTCTTATTTGGCCTTTCATGGCCGACGCACGGATGATTCAACATGGCACAGGCAGTCGGACAAAGAAATCACTCTGATTAGCTGTTCAGCTAGCGAATCAGTGCATGAGAAGCGAAACGGTTGCTTGAGAATGTCTTCCACAAGCAACACTCCAATGGCTGATAGCTCCAGTACCGCACGAAACATGTTTTCAATGGACGAGAGTGAAAATGGAACGCACACGCTATTTGTTGTTTGTTTATATCACGTAGTCCGTTCTTCTTCTCTGTCTTCCTGTCACAAGTTAGACACTTCTATTATTGTTTGTTTGGTGGCTCAACTAAACTCTCCTGTCATTTCAGATCCCGCCTTCCTCCAGGCCCTTGTAATCAGCTCACTTCCCTCACCTGGTCTCCCCAGCCCTTCCCCTCACCTGTTACTCATTCCCTCATCACTCCACAGTATTTATACCACCTCACTATCACTTGTCCTTTGCCAGATTGTCTTGTCGTTTCCGCCAAGCTCTCCAGTGTGTGTTGTGCTCTAGCCTAGATTTTTGTCCTGCCCGGTTTTTGACCCCTGCCTGCCTGTTTACGGATCTCGAGTTCCTGCCTGCTCCCTATCTGGTTTTGGTTGCCTGTCTGACGGATTTCCTGGTTTTGACCCTGCCTGTCCCTGACCTGAATAAACTGAACATTACTACACTGGTTGTATCTGAGTCGTGCTATTGGGTTCAGATCTGTACCTGTGATCGTGACACTTCCGGTTGTTGCCTCTTTTGAATGACGAATACACACTACCACCGCCTGCTGGTAAGGAGAGTTATTGCAACTCACGCATGCGCAGTTCGTGCGTGCTCGGCTGAAGTCTTTGCGGTGTGTTCCAGTGCGACACTTGGCTAAGATGCAGGAGAACACGGCGACGCAACAGTCGGCGTCGGCGAGTTCTCTGGTGACTGCTTGGTGTGTCAGGGCCTAAGGGAACCATGCCTCCCACAGAGCCTACCACAGTGTGCCTATGGGATGTGATTGCGTATTGAAGTTATTCGCCTTTGGTTATGGACCAATCTTGGTGCTCCACCCCTTTTTGGCCAGTTGTACCTGACCTACCAGAAAGGCAACCTTAAGAGCTGAGATGAGATATAACAGACTCCCTCTGAGCTCCATGAGTCAGTGGAGATGCTGTAAAACAAATAAAATAATTATTTTTAATAATAAATACATTTTCGTTTCTCGTGTAGGACTCTCCGTTAGAGAGTAACGTTCAGGGGTTAAGTTGGTGTTTGATATGTGGGGGGGCTCTCTGTGGAGGTGCGAGGGTTTATATTAAATTATTAATATATAAACAAAAGGTTTAGAAATATCCAACCTTCAATGACTATTTTAAATCAACGTTGCTCTGCACACTTGCTGAAGATCATTTGTGTGGAGATCTCAGTTCATTTGTAGAGCTGCACGAGTATAGCACACACACACACACACACACACACACACACACACACACACACACACACACACACACATTTAGCATGGCTTAGGAAACGTCTCCGTGTTACAGCACGGGTCGGGGGGTTGGCACACACAGACAGACACACACACACCACACACACAAACCACACACACCGCAAAAAGAGACACGTTCATTAAGCCGAAAAACTCTATCCGGTCACGGAGATCTATTTTAAATGAAAGTCAACTCATATGGACCTTAAAATAATTCTATATTTAGAACGAGAGAAGTTTGAACATATATATATATATATATAATATAGTTTTTTGTAAACATGTGAGAAATGTGCGAGGGTGATGACGTCAGAGCATCGTCCTCTGGGCTGAGCCCTGGCAACGTTACACGTGTTTTTTGTATTGATATTTTTCTTAAGATATTTAAAATGGCACGGTCGTAAACATTGAATTAATCCATTTGATAATATGTAATCAACTTAGGCACCCTCCCATAGAAACAATAATCATTACAATACAGATATTCATAACTCATATTCCAATACCTGAATCATTTTGAATATTGGATGAATCATTCCCATCCCTAATTCAAACCCTGTTTGACTCTGATCAGATTATTAAACCTGGAGTTATTTCTAACAGGAACTTTGTTTTCTAAAGTTACATCATGTTTTCTTTATTCAGACTGAGGAGCTGCAGTTTGTCAGAGATCAGCTGTTCTGCTCTGGCCTCAGCTCTGAAGTCCAACATCCATCTGAGAGATCTGGACCTGAGTGTCAACGTTCTTCAGGATTCAGGAGTGGAGCTGCTGAGAGATCTTCTGGAGAGTCCAGACTGCAGACTGGAGACCCTCAGGTCAGTGAGGGGTCTCTGCTGGTTCAGCAGTATTGTATGAAACTCAGGGAGGTGTTTCTCTCTCTGGGGAACAGATCAGTGATGTTACCCACTGACTGCAGGCTCTTCCATTCTTCCATCAACTAGAGAAGGCCAGCTGGAAATGCAAAGCCTCACTTTAGTAATCTACTCTCTGACAGACATGTGGGGTTTACAGAAGAGAGGGAAAGGTAGTCTGTTCTTATGGGATGTTTTTAGTTTCTAATGACTGGTTACTTCCTGTCAGCTGAGAGCTGAGGCAGGCAGTCGTAGTGTTTGCAGAGAAGATATGATGGGATGTAAAGCATGAGATCAGGACTCTGAAGCTAACTCAAAGAAAAAACACTTAAACTGGATCTAAAACTGTTGGATTGTGTTCATCCCTACAGGATCGGATATAATGAGACGATCAGAGCCAAGATCCAGAAGACCTGTGAGTACTGAATATCCTCCATTCATCCAGATATGAGACTCTTTAATGGAGCATGAGCTCAGAGGAAAACAACACTCTGGTTTCTCTCTTCATCATCTTGTCTGTTTCTCTTCATGTTTTATCATCATCATCATCATTCTCTCTCTCTCTCCTTCTCCTCTCAGGTGACAGGAAGTGAAGACATACAGAAAGGTGAGAGGTCGTACCAAGTGACCTTTATTTATTGTTTCACTACAGAATAAAATGTAGTTACTGGTCAGTGTTTTCTGGGATTCAAGACAAATCTGCAGCTCAGGTTTTATTTGTTCACAGTTAATTTATTACAGGCGAGTTTGAGACGTACAGAGGAGCGTGGAGGCATTTAGGAAAATATGAAAGAAGGCTGCAGCTGAGACTTCCTGTTGGCTGCCCTCAACATTAAATGAACAACAACAATAAATTATACTTAAAGCTTTTCTTAACCTCTTAAGCCCGAGGGTCCCCCCAGTGGACCCCTCCCACCGTTTTTTTACGAGACTATGTCTCAGGGCTTCTTAACATTTGTGAAACTATTAATGTACCCTTTTAACGGTAAGAAACTCAGCTAATTGACAATATGAACAATTGTTAGCTAAAAGAAACACAAGAGTAATACAAAGCCTTTGAATTAGCATGGAGCGAAAAAATGCTAACTAATGCTAACGGACTTTTGCACAGCACTCACGGTAGAAATGCCCTTATTACTTATCGTAACTGCACAAACAAGATATCCGATTAAAGCTGAGACTCCACAGATTCCACACATGTAATGTCATCACTGTACGACCCCGAATTCCTGGAGCTATCAGCCAGAAAAGAGAAAGTAAACAACATCCGGTTTCAAAAATATTACAATAATTACGTCTTACCTTTTTTGATTTGTGATCAAAAGTTGTGTTCAAAGGAATAAAAACGCCGCTCAAGGTTAATCCAATGTCTTTGTGTCACGTAGACATTTTTACTGATAATCCATCATCATATTTATGGCAATACTGGGTATAACGTTTTGCCGTCTAGGCTTGTACTTTCAGATATGCTTCGTTTGCTTCTCTATTACGTCCGCAATGGTCATGTTTACGTGGATTTGGGAACTGCCCATCGATTCTATTGGTTCTGATGGTTAAGAAAAAGGTGTAAATCACCCAAATCGACCAATGGGTTCCAGAGATATGGTCCTGCGTAAAGTATAAAGAATGCCAGCCAGCGGCAGCACATTACGCAGAAGACTCTACTTATTGTTTACTACGTAAGGAAGCAGGAATTGCAGGACCCAGAGTAATAAGGGAGCTAGGAGTGAGTTTCGGTGCAGTAATAGGTTAGCATTTTTCGCTCGGGGCTAATTCAGAGGCTCACTGTTAGCATTGTGTGTTTTTTTTAAAAGAAAAATGAAAAAGATCAGTTAAATGAGTTTTTTCCCGTTATATGGATATCAAATATTCATAGTTTATTAAATATTAAGGTTCCTTAGACGTTGTTTCCTGCAAATGACGTGATTTCGGCCCCGGAACCAGGTCCGTGGGGCCTAAGAGGATAACAGAGTATGTTTTTTATTTTATTTTATTTATTTTTTCACAACAGTTGTATTTGGATGGAATGAATACCTATAGTGATAATTCAAAGTAATAAAATGATTTTTACAGTGAAAAAGGTCAAATGGAACTGATGGTTCCCAAATTTCCCAGAGGTGAGTCCGCCTGGACTTTATTTTTCTAAACCTCTCTAAAAAGGTCAAATTTCACTTGTTTTGCATCAATCTTGATACAGGGTACTTATTATATGTTATAGTTTGGATTCCTAAAGCTTTTAGTCTACTAACCCATCATGCAAGGGTGGTTTTCACTATAAGTAATGGTTTTTTTTAGGCGGACATTAGAATTTACATGTTTTTACTATGTTCCATCTGAATTTACTTTAAAATAAAAACATCTATATTGATTCTGAGACTTCTACATCCAACTCATGTAACCTTGCTTTGAGAGAAAAGATTATTAATGTACCCCTTTTAGAAGTGAAGATATAGTCTTTGTTGTGTTAGTGGCATTTTCGAGCCTGAAACCTGAAAAACAGGCTCAGGGCTTAAGAGGTTAAGAACAAAGATGTGTCACCATAACCTGAAAATACATTTTTAAATGAAGAAATATATGTAATTATATATCAGTTCATCTGCTGTGATCAATGTCTCACGCTCTGCTGTGATTGGCTGGTCCTGCTGTCACATGTTAACTCGTTAATAACCCATTGGAAATCAACAACGGACTCAGAGGCTCCCAGTAATCTGAATACTTAGCTTTGGTCTCTGGATGTTCTGTTATTGTAATTTGTGTTCGTTGAGCTGGAGTTGAACTTTACTAACTCTGTTTCATAACTCCAGGCTCCAGTGTTCTTCTCACCTGAACACACACCTGGATCTTCATACAGCTGATCCTCTAACACGACCAAACACTACTTTAATAATATCTTTATATAACCATCCTTCTTTCATTTCATGCCATGTTTGCACACGTCTGCACAGCCCTCCACTTTAAAGCAGGGCCGTTTCTTCCTATAGGCGGACTATGCGGATGCCCACTAGGGGGCCCCTGTGCCCACTAGGGCCCCCAAGCTGAAAGTTCAGGTTCAGCCTCAATATGTTTGGGGAGAATTCAAATGAGCCGTCTTTATTTGTAGACAGCCCCCTCCTGTGTTCAGTGAAGCATTATATGCTTAAGAATCAAATGTAGGATATAAACACAACTAAACTGCAACGATAGCAAAGCTGAGGCTTGTGTTTGTGGGGATCAATAACGTCCAAATCATCGTTGGGCTGTCAGCCAATGAGTGGCGTCTGAGGAAGATGAGAGACATTGTTGAGAAAATGCTGCATCTCTTGCATTTATTGACGTAGAGGAGCCTTTTGTTTGGCTTTTTAAGATCATTTTTGGTAAGTTTCAATTGCTTGTTTTTCATGAAATTAGCCTGTTTTCCTCTTAAAGTGTAACAGATTGATGCGTCTCCACAGACCATCTTGAAGGCTTCAGGATCCCCCCATTGTAGTTACAAAACTGTAAAAACTAGGAACCCCAAACAGCATCTTGCATGGGGCCCCCAAACAGCATCTTGCATGGGGCCCCCAAACAGCATCTTGCATAGGGCCCCCAAACAGCTAGAAACGGCCCTGCTTTAAAATACAACTCTCTGTAGTTATTATATATTGTCATATTTTCATTCTGCTAATTGTTGTAGCTTTTAAGGTTCTTTGTATATTTACATTTACATTTGGTGTAAATACTTGTCTAATTATTTTTTTAATTGTAAATAGTTTCTTAAAAATACTTATTTTTGTTATCTTTATATTTTTGACCTATTGCAAATTATTTTCTTATGTTGTTTATGTTCGTACACGTATGTACACTAAATCTACTTCCTTGTGTGTGTAAACGTACCTGTTTACAATCTACTGCTGGTTTTGTAACCAAAGTATTTCCCTGTTTCTCTTCCAGGTCCCTGAGGGCTACCTGTTGACCCGTGTCCATCTCAAAATGGTCCCCAGGCGTCCCATAATCCTGCGTTTGGGGGGGAGACGTTCTCCCTGTAATCAAAGCACTGGTTCTCTTGGAGACGCTCTCAAAGTCTTTGAGGACAAAGTCAGAAAAAGCCAAGAAGAAGACATTATTTGAGCTCTTCTTTGTGTTCATCACCCCGGGTTCATTTAAAGGTCTCCTATCAGGCAAAAGTCACTTTGTGATGTCTTTTATACATAAACATGTGTCCCCGGTGTCAGGAGACTCACGCAGCGTCAGAAAATAAAACCCTTCTCTTTTCCTCCGTACCCAAATCTCTAAAAACGGGGCTACAACGGAGCTGATCCAGATGTGCGTCCGATATGACGTAATATCAGAAATATGGGCGGGCTTTACGCCCACGGCCCTATCAGAAACGTTGCTATCAGAAAAAATTCGGAACGTGTTTTGGACGTAATATGGTCAGTGTTTACATTAGCATCGCTAACACTCAGAGCTAACCTGTACTGGAGAGCATGTGTGTGAAGAAGCAGGAAATAAAAAGGAACTCACCTTGTGGTATAACCGGCAAGAGAGAAAGCCTTTGAGCTCCAAACTGTTTCAGAGAGAATCCTTGATCCTTTTTATAAAGCTAAGGACCCAGAATAAGCGTTTCTCTAACAGCTGGAACAGAGGGATATGAGGGATTCTAAAATGTATGATCTGTTTGGTATTTTGAGCAAAAACCTTCATAGACATTAGGGCTGGGAATCACAGGCTCCCCACGATACGATACTATCGCGATACTTAAGCCACAATACGATAGTATTGCGATACGATATATTGAAAATCACATGGCTCATATCCATGTCCGTCTTCCCTTCCTGGTTAAAACATGTATTTGCAATATGAATAATTTATGTAAATAACCCAATATGTGTTCTTTGAACCTGAAAAGGAGATGGCATTGTTTTTGTTGCTTTCATTGCAATTGTATTCATGTCTTAACGTAACTTCCTGTTTTATATACGACCATCTTTCGAAGGGATATGCTACAGTTTATATAATAAAATATCGATTCTTGGCATCCGTGTATCGATACAATATCGCCACGCCAAGTATCGCGATACTATGCTGTATCGATTATTTCCCCCACCCCTAATAGACATGTTTTGTATATATCTGAGACCCATAATATTTGCCTAAAAATAGCATAATAGGAGACTTTTAATATCCATTCAAATGTTCCCGTTGATTTGTAACTCTTCTAAAGGAGCTCTGCCTGGTGTCATTGAAAGTGTGCTAAAGCTTTGTGTGCATGTAGTCTTTATGACATGTGATCAGATATTGTTGAAACCTATAAGATGTGTTCTCTTCAGAACTGCTACAGGATGTGGAGTTTGTAAATTGTGGCATTTAAAAAGAAAAAAGTATCTTTAATATTTGTTGTTATGCTTCTTAATTAACGTTAAGCTGTCTTTGGCTCTTTCTGCTGGAACAAATGTACATGTACCCTCTGTGGGACTAATAAAGGTTTTCTGACTCTGTGATGTCTTTAAAGTGAAATGCATGAGCAGCTGAGCAGAGAGTGGGTTCAGTTTATTGACGGCGGTCTGTATCCATGTATAAAGAATCCATACAAATTTAATAAAAATAATTATTATAATACAATTATAATGTTTGTTATGGATATATATGGAGTTATGGATAAAACAATACAATTATAATAAAGAATCCATAAACATGTAATATAAGTAAATAAAAAAAATGCATTGATTGAATAATTGATCAATTAGCAGATTAAGAGAAAAATAATTAGCATCTCTACATGTTTTTTTTAATTTATTTGAATAATTTTGAGGGCTTTTAAAATGTAATTCAAATGTAATTTTAGATTTGTTTGCAGTGGTTACTTTTACATGCAATTCTTAAGAGACATTTTCCATGCAGTACTTTTACTTGAAAGTAAACCTTTAACACTATTTGTATTTTTAAATGCAAAGTAACATTATAATCCTGCTAGTAATCCCCCTTTCTTTCTTTTTTAATAAAACAGTAATCGGATTATTTTATCTAACTTTAAGAAAATACAGTTACCTTTTTTGTTGCATCCCCATTACGTAATCCCATCACATGTTATCCATTCCTCCTCAAACCCGCCTAAAAGAATGCAATAAGCAATTGTATCCATAAATCATCACATTATTTAGTTGTTTTCCACAGTAACCCTCTCTATACCCCAGAGAGAGGGGAATGCTGTGTGAATGTATAATTGGTGTTGTCCTCCTCAGTATTCTGCAGTGAGTCTCTGCACACTGACTGTCATCATCATGGAGGCTCTGCAGCAGTGAGCAGCACAACACCGGACAGCTCCATCTTCTTTTAGCCTATACTCCTCTCACATCGGTAAGAGGACATTATTGTGTGTTATCGCATGGATTTGAGTGTTTTTATTGCATGCACTGAAGCATTTAGCAGCCACCGTGTGTCGCTATGGATGATTCTGTGTTTGTGCACCGGGTTGCTAACCAGCCCGCAGACCACGGAGCGTTTATACAATGTGTTATTGATGCACTAAAGGGGGAAATAAACCATATCTCCCTGTCTATATGTGTGTGTTTGTGTGTGTGTGTCGTTGCACGGATTGCAGGTTAATATTAGCGCTGCTCACCGGGTGCAGGGAGGAGGAAAAGCCGCAGATTATTTGCGCGTTAATCCTCCACACAGACGGAGAAACCACCGACACATCCTCTGCTTTCTGTCTGCAGGTGATCCCTCTGCAGAAACACCACCGAAAACACCAAGATGAAGCATTTCCTGAGGTAAAGATATTCTTTAATGTGCATTTTATTCGTCAAAACTTGAAGGAATTCATTAAAAATCTCCGTTTTCTGAGCCTGTTTTCCTTCGTTCATTTCGATCCACTGCAATGTCTTGTTTACACTAAATACTGCAGGATGTGTATTCCCAGTTCTCCCAGTGAAGGCGGATCGATTATCTTATTGTGGCCAGTATAAGTGGCTGTATGGAGGAGGAGGCCTCTTAATTATGGAGCACATGTACACCAAGTCTCTATTAATAGATCTGTTGATTTCTGTGTGTGGAAATCATTTCTGCAGAAAAAAAACATCCTGTACAAAAATTACAAAGCAGGTCGAAATAATGAGGAATTAAATGCTTAGTCAAAAATATTGATATATAAGTCTATATCTTGGGATGATAAGTCTATATTTTGAGATATATGTCCACATTTTGGGATGCTAGGTCTACATTTTAAGTTGGTAAGGCCTTATTTTGAGATGCTAAGTCTGTATTTTGGAGATGCTAAGTCGTTATTTTGAGATATATGTCGTTAATTTGGGATGCTAAATCATTATTCTGAGATGCTAAATCGTTATTTGAGATGCTAGGTCGTTATTTTGGGATGCTAATTGTCATCTTTTAGAGATGCTAGCTTGTTATTTTGAGATATAAATCAACATTTTCGGATGCTAGGTCAATATTTAACATTGTTAAGTCCTTACTTTGAGATGCTTAGTCTATATTTGGAGATATAGGTCATTATTTGAAATGCTAGGTTGTTATTTTGAGAAGAAGTTATGTTGGGATGCTTAGTCTATATTTTGAGATATGTCTCGTTATTTTTGGATGCTAAGTAATTTTTCAGATGCTAACTCATTATTCTGAGATGCTTAGTCCTTTCTCTGACATGTTAAGTCATTATTTTTTAGACATATGACGTTATGTTGGGATGCTTAGTCTATATTTTGAGATATGTCTCGTTATTTTTGGATGCTTAGTCTATGTTATGAGACGCTGTCGGTATTTTTAGATGCTAAGATATTTTTAGGTAATCATTTCCTTATGCTAACTCATTATTCAGAGAATCTTAGTCGTCTTTATTTGAGTTGCTAAGTTACAAATAGGCCCTAATTCTGTGTTTCGGGATCATGTAATCAGGAACTACAACATAAGTGTGTTCTTCCTTCTTTCCTAACGTTCAGAGAAAATCCAGAGGAGCATAGAAATCATTTAGTCTCCACGTTTTTATAACGGGTCGCTGTGCATTTCCCAAGACACACATTTCCATTTTGGTCCTCAGTGTCATCTGTAAAAATAGCACACTTTGATCTGCTGCTGGTAGACGAGAAGTAACACACAATCTTATGTGTGTACTCGTATTGAGCCCATTTTACATGTTTACTCTGAATAGAATGCGATTTTTATTATGAATCCCCCAAAATACTGAGCTAATAATCCGTAAAATCCTGTAAACAACTATTTTTTAAGGAAACTATCAGGAGCTGCACTTTTTTTTAACGCTTGAAGTGACAGTTAATATAGAAAAAAGTATTGAAAATGTTCATAACAATATCATTAACTGTTTTATTTTATTACCAAAACTCAACAAATATTCAATTTACTAACATGTAAGACCAAAAACAGCTTGACATTTTTTCCCCATTTATTGTTATCTTAGGGTGCCTAGTCTATATTGTGATTATTTAGAGTACCAAGTCTTTACATTTTTTCACTAACGGTTGAAGTGGCAGTTAATATAGGTCTATAAAACATAAAAAGTAGTAAAAAAACTCAAAACAATATCATTTATTGTTTTATATTATTACCAAAACTCCCAAATATTCAATTTACTAACATGTAAGACCAACATTTTTTAATCTAAATGTATTTTTTTCCATTTAATATCAGTAGTAAATACTAAAATAAAGACTGCAAATAGTCCCTTTGATCAGAGTATCCTCCATAGCAACAGTCTGCTCTCCTTAGCGACGGTCTGCACTTCGTCGCAACGGTCTGCTCTCCTTAGCAACGGTCTGCTTTCCTTAGCGACAATCTGCTCTCCTTAGTGACGGTCTGCTCTCCTTAACAACAGACTGCTAGCGAAAAATAACAGACCTCTTGCATGTCCAAATCGACCAATCAGAATCGAGTATTCAACTGACTATATTTGTAGCACTTTAACAGATGACCCTAATGTCCGTATCTCACCCTCTTTTGTCTTAATTTACATTATTTTATTTCATATTCTGTTCTTATACATATCATATTGTATTTACATGTAGGCCTATAGAGACTCCTTGTACTCTTTTTTATTTTGGTATTTTATTATATGTGTTGCATTGTTGGAGGAGCCCAGGTCAGAAGCCATTGTTACACTGTAGCTTTGTGCATATGACAATAAAACCTTTGATTCTTGAATCTTTGAAATCTGCAGGGTGGTGACGCAGTTCTTCGTCTTCCTGTACTGTAAGTGTTTGTGGCGAGGACTGAAGTTCGTCACCAGGAAGCTAACGGGTCGCTGTGAGCTGCAGAGGATCTGTTACAACAACAAGCATGGAGCCCGCAGGACCCTGAAGATAGGTAACTCACACTGCCTGATAATAAACTCATGTTTATGAAGCCTACAGTAATCAGAGGCGGGAAGCAACTAAGTACATTTACTCAAGTACTGTACTTACTGTATTTTACTTAAGTATTTCCATTGTATGCTACTGTGTACATCTTCTCCTCTACAGTTCAGAGGTACATGGTGTACTTTTCCTCCACTACATGTATTTAATACCTTTAGTTACTTCACAGATGTGGATGAATGATGTGAAATCTAATCAAGTGTTGAATCAGACTTTAGTTCCACCTGGAGTAAATCCACCAGCTACCCTGCAGTATACAAAGTCATTCAAACTAGCTGCACCTTCACCAGCTTTGAGAACACTTTCATGATCAATCATTATAAAACATATCATATATATTATTCTGGAATGGACCAATCTGCACAACGACTACTTTTACTACATTTTGATGAGAATACTTTTCTACTTTCACTTGAGGAACATTTTGAATGCAGGACTTTTACTGTAACAGAGTATTCCTACACTCTGGTACTTCTACGTTTACTCAAGTACAAGACCTGAGTACTTCTACTTCTACTCAAGTACAAGATCTGAGTACTTCTACTTTTACTCAAGTACAATATCTGAGTACTTCTACTTTTACTCAAGAACACGATCTGAGTACTTCTACTTTTACTGAAGAACAAGATCTGAGTACTTCTACTTTTACTGAAGAACAAGATCTGAGTACTTCTACTTTTACTCAAGAACAAGATCTGAGTACTTCTACTTTGCTCAAGTACAAAAATAATCTAAGTCGCAGGAGGTGGAAATGTCCTGATTATCATTTCCTAGTTTGGGTGAGTTTTTGGAGTTCTTGTAATATTAATAATAACAATAATTGATGTCACTTTATGTTGTTTTCTTTTCCAGAATCTTCTCTGCGGTGTTCCAAGAATGCGGTACGTCTCTCTTAATCCTCAGTCTGAATATCGGTGTCATTTCATTTTTTAACTCCGATCAAATTAAGTCTTCCTCTTCTGTTTCCCTCCTCTTCCTCTGCAGCTGCTTCAGTCTGCGCTCAGCGTTCATCCTGATAAGGTGGAGAAGACCATCGAGGACATCATGGCGCTGAAGAAGATCAACCCTGACACCAACCCACAGTGAGACTTTAGATATCTACGTTTCTGTCACTTCACCCTCTGTGAGGGTGTTTCAGGCAGTTAGCATAACACCTCTGAATCAGACTCGCTGTGAAGAGAATAAACAACACTTTCCCAAAGGCTGCGGATGGGAATTAATTAATTCTGCTACAAAGGGTATTTTCTCACTTTGAGATTAACGATCCCTAATATTGTTTATTGTTTAAAATACAAACAACAAATAGTAAGTCATATGCAGAGCAGAGAAAAGCAGCTTATTTTGAATCTCCTCCTAAATAATGTTAAAATTCACAAACAAAATAATATGAATTCAACAGTGAGCAAAAACAACAATTAAATGTAAAAAGACCGAAAATAAGAGTGTGACGTGTATTTATGTATATGAGTGAACATATAGACAATAATACAGTTATTTTATTGAATATACAATGTTTTCACTAGAAACATAGTTTTTATCATTTTAAAAAGTTTGTTTCCAGGCCAGAGACGCTTCTGGTAGTACCACTGATTCCATGGTTTAGTGTTGCTTTCTTCCTCAACGACCATTAGAGCTCAGACTGAGCTGTAGGTCTCTCAGAATAACAGACAATGTGTGGACGTTGATAGGTTCCTCTCTCACGATCACCATCTCTCCCCAGGCTGGGTGTGCTAAGTCATTGTTTTGAGATATAAGTCGTTAATTTGGGATGTTATGTCATTTTTTCAGAAGCTAACTCATTATTCTGAGATGCTTAGTCATTTCTTTGAGATGCTAAATGCTGAAGTGAAATAATGAAGCATAGTTAGATGATCACTGGAAAAGCAGCATTTCATTAAGTAACAAATCCATTAAGGCCCTGTCACACTGTCCCGAAATTGACACCCGATGGACACACGATAAAGGAAATGTTCAAATTCGGCTGTGATCGTAGCAACATCGGGCCATTCGTGAGGGCATCTAAGCCATCGTATGACCGCCGGTGGAGTTTCTCAGGCTCCGGCAGCAACTTCGTGAGCGGCAACTTCGTAAGGCACTCGTGAGGGCATCTTGTCAAATCGTGTCATCTTCGTGTTATCATCGGTGCATTCACCCTCACTCTGATCGGGGCGAATGCCCGATGGCACCGATGATAACACGATGGCCTTACGAAGGGCACAATTGACGCACGAATTCAACACGAAAATGAACCTTCGCAAGGTCCTTCGGCAATTTTTTGGCATGCCAAAGATTTTGCCACCGCTCACGAAGTTGCTGCCGGAGCCTGAGAAACTCCACCGGCGGTCATACGATGGCTTAAGATGCCCTCACGAATGGCCCGATGCTGCTACGATCACAGCCGAATTTGAACATTTCCTTTATCGTGTTTATCTGGTTGTTTTATTGCACAACAAAATCATGTAAACATATTATGTAAATAACCCAATTTGTGTTCTGTGAAACTAAAAAGGATATAATATATTATTTTGAAGGACAGTTGACAGGAAGTTGTTGTTGTTATGGAAACAACATTACGGAGAAAACGTAATATTTTCTACATATAACGACGGATAAAGTAAAGAACAAAGTCTGAAGATATCAGTACAGTATCATAGTACTGTAACATAATTGTTTTTGGTACTTTCGTTGCAGTTGTATGTCTTAAATGTAATGTAAATGTTGCCTTCGTGTGTGGTTCGGAGCCATCTTCGTGCGAAATTCACAATTCCATATTCGTGTGTCCATCGGGTGTCAATTTCGGGACAGTGTGACAGGGCCTTTAGAGCTCAGACTGAGCTGTAGGTCTCTCAGAATAACAGTGTGTGGACGTTGATAGCTCTGATTCCCCTCCTCTCTCCCCAGGCTGGGCATCTCTCTTCAGGCCAGCCTGCTGC